TGAGCATAAATTTTCTTTTTTTACGTCCGTACGTACTAAATTGTACTACCGTACTGTACTAATTTACTATATACCCGCTTCGCAGGTATTTTTAATATAACCGTCCTGCTTAATAAAAAATTAGTGACACAGAACTGCCAAATAGTAGAGTGTCAACAACGTTGAGACGTTGATGATTCAACGTTGATTAGAATATAGATCTAATTGGGCAATAGAAAAATTGTGACAACACTGAATTAAACGTGCAGAAAAGCAAAATGAATATTTTGTCAATATATATATGTTTTAATAATATTCATATAATCTATTATGGATAGTGCCGGGATTTTGACCCAAATTCGGTTCGATGGACAATTAATTTAAATTAATATACTTGTGCGACCTTCGACCTAAAGGACAAACCGAAAAGTTTTATACTACCAGCATCTTTAGTTAGTCATCATGTAAAATCGATTACTTTTGTTTCAAATCAATTGGGTAAGTCAATGTAAGAAATATAAATTGCTCCCTCTTCAGCTATCTTTTTTTTTTTTTGTTTCTTTAAACATGGATGAAGGTAAAAAATAAAGTTTCCATTGACCTTACCTGGGTGTCTAAAATATGAATTATTTGCAGACGATATGGCGAAATATTTTTATGGTGCTTCAAAATACTTTTGTGATGAAATTATTTCAGAATCACCTCGCTGAAATGCAATTCTTTTAAAAAATTTAGGTTGTGTGTTGTGAATGCATTTCAAATATTTGCTTCTATGATATAAACATTCAGTCATGTCTATATCTGAGGTCTATTAGTTTTAAACCTTTGTGGAATGTACTTAGACCGGGGTTTGTATACGGCTTTTTACGGTAGATTAATATATATGAGTAGTAAAATAAGTACAGTTAGACCTCTCTAAATGCAACACCTCTAAATGCTAGCCTAAATATAAGTGCACATTGTTAAAGTTTGATCCCAAGAGCGTGCACTTAGAGAACTCCCGTAATGCAATTTTTTATATTGTTCCTTATATGCAAGCTATCAAAAGTCTGGTCCCTATGAGTTGCATCTAGGAAGGTTTGACTGTAAATGAAAAAAGATACGTTGATTGAATTAGTCATACAAAAATATTTTCGTCGTTCAAAGTTATTTATGCTTTAGACACCCAAAAGTGATCTTGGCAGTCTAGATTTACTCCAAGAGCAAATTAGTTCACATTATATATCTCTTGATAATTATTAAATCATATGATTCAATTTTAGTCGAATACAAATTTGTTCTCGATGCCAGCTTGAAAGAAATGTTGATCATACATCACTTATCATTAGTTCCTCGAAATCAATTAAAAAATATCGAACAAATTGGTAGTGGAGGTTTTGCAAACGTATATCGTGCTGACTGGATTGATAAAACCCAAACCGTAGCTCTAAAAGTAATAAATAAATCAGATAAAGCAGATCTCATAAAAGAGGTGAGATTTATAAAAAGTATATGTTTGAATGTTATACGATTAATATTGATATTTTTAAAGCTGCAGACAAATTGCGATCTTGTTTGTGAAAATTCTTGCTTATTACGTTGCTACGGAATTTCAATTTACAACCAAAAATACTGTTTGGTTTTAGAATACGCTAAAAAGGGCACATTGTATGATAATCTCCATATGACAACAAAAATGAACTGGAAAGAAAAGCTAAATATATTGAGGTGCATTGCCCAGGGTCTCGAAATAATACACTCCAAAGGTTATATACATGCCGATTTGCATAGCAAGAACATTTTTTTGAACGACTCTAAAGCTTACATTGGTGACTTCGGAAACTCGATTTTAGTAAATGAAAGACATAAAGAAATCAACTGTGTGATGTCTTACATTGCTCCAGAAGTTTTAACGGATGGAAGATTTATACAAGCCGCAGATATATATAGCTTTGGTGTCATCATGGAAGAGTTATCGACTGAACAATGTCTTTTTGGTTCAAATAGTATAGACGTAATTAACGGAAAACAACCAAAATTTTTGGAGGGTACTCCTAAATTTTATATCGAATTAGCTAAACAGTGTATGGATTCGGATCCCCAAAACCGCCCTACCGCACAATACATTTCCAAATATCTGGCTAACAATGCTTGAACATCCACGTTGAGCTGTCGAAAATTGGCAAATGAAAACGGTTGCAAAATCTGAATGTGAGTGCACTATATAAAAAAATTTTATTAAACTTTTGTTTTATATTTATATACTATTAATAATTATATACATCTATACCGTTATTAAAAGTAATAATTTATTTATTGTATGTATTTTATTTTTATTATTTTTATCTTTTTTTTCTCATGAATTTTTAAAATGACTTCGAATTTTCACATTTTTTTTACGACAGCCCTCAATATAATTACACTTGTTTTAGTAATATTACTTCCTTTGAATTTAGCACAACTATGAATTACTTTGTATACTTCCAAAATTAAGCACCCCCGAAATTAAGCACCCCTGAATTCATACGTATATCAAAAATAAGCACCCCCCGTAAATAAGCACCCCCGGAATTAAGCACCATGCATTTACATATCCAACTCGGATTTCCTTATGTCAAGAAAATGATCTACATCCGATATAACACACAATTTTGATAATATTATATATATATATTGTT